ATGGATTGTTATATATGAATTGTATGAGCCCCTAATAAAATGATTTTTAAAAGAATCCTTTCCAAACAGTTACTGTTGCTGGGTAAGAAAACTGGAAAAACCTTTTTGGTAAGAGCAATTTGCAAAGTTGTGTCTATCCCATTTTTAAATGCACACAACTTCTTTGACCTAGTAGGTATCTCACAGACAGATAAACAGGAGCACAATTAAGTATGCTTTCATATTAATAGAATGTCAGGGGACTGGTGAAATGTATCTTAAAATACCTCTCAAATACACTTATGAAACAGATGTATACAAATGTGCTGTTTGTGCAGAGATAAAAGGGAGTTGCAAAATAGTGTGAATAATTTGTCACCAATTAGGTAAAAATACATAGAGTAGGGAGTTTCAAAAAGCGCATGGAGAACCGAAATTCATAGGTAATAGCATTTTTTCATGAGCATCTTGAATGCCCCTTATATGTGTGTTGCCACGCTTGTGTACATTCCTAACTAGAATGTCCTGCGAAAAACGGCTTGTTTCTGCAGAAACGAATCCCTCGCTGAGGACATAGACTCAATCTTTTTTTTTTCTCAAGCTAGTACAACGCACATGCATTACGTCATCAAATACCTACATCTTTTCTTGAAATAATTGAGAACGAAAAACTGAAGCCCAGAGACATCTCCCTAACTGACCAAAATTGCAGTCTTGCTTGCCATCAGCAAACAACAGTGTTGCTTTCGTTCGCGCTCCGCAGGGATTCCAGATCGCAAGGAACGCCCACGCCCGGGCTCGGGCCAGGCAGGCGAGGACCGGGCTCGCCATGCTCCCGGCGGCCAGCGGCTGTGAGGAGCTGGGCCCAACGGTTCCTAACCGTCCAGGGACCGGACGGACACGGGAGTCAACGGCCGCCGGCACAAGTGCCCGTCCCCCGCCCAGCCCCAAGGGGGGCCGGTTCCCCGGACAGTTACCCACGCCAGTAACTGCCTTACCCTGGCCCGTGGGGCGCGGGGCGCTCTCGGCGGTCCCATCCGTACCGCGGGCTGACGCCGAAGCAGAGTGAGCTCCTCACTCTCGCCGACACAGTGCCTCCCCTGGCCTTCGCCCTACTCTGGTTTTACTACATGCCCTGCCGCCGCCCCGTGTCGCCCGAGGCCTGCCACCGTACGGTGCCCAGCCGTGGCAAACGATGGCAAGAGGGCACCCGTGGCGCCCGTGGGCGGTGGCTACCACCGCGGTCCCTGGGGTGCGGTGGGCACCAGCCTTGGAGGAAAGCACCGACGGGGCGCAGCCACCCGGCCGGGCGGCTCCACGCCCGCGCACCGCGCTCCCGAACTCGCCAGCGCCGACGCCCGCCCCCCGCGTCGGAGATGGGACCCTCCTGGGTCATTAGACTCGAGGTGGGGCTGGGAGGACTTCGCGCAGCCTCTACTGGGCAGTTTAATGCTCAGCAGGTGTCATTCCAAGCCACGTCCGCTTTCCCTGAGTCCTATTGGCTCACGTCCTGGGCCGGCTTTGAGTTCCGACCCGGTCATTGGGGATCGGTCCGCAGCAACCACGTCTCTCAAGGCAACTCGTGGAAGGATTGGTTGGGACGGGGACGGCGATGGGCTGGGCTGCGAGCGGGGCGCTGATTGGTGCGGGCGGCCCAGGGGGCGGAGCAGTGGCAGCTGGAGCCAGGCTGGCTGAGTTGGGTGACCCGGCTCCTCGTCGGAGGCGAGTGCTGCAGCTGGGACGAGGTGTGAGGCTGGGCGGGCGCGCGACGCTGGTTCTCGAGGACCGGTAAAAGCGGGCGCCGAGAGCAGGGGTTGCGGGTAGGCTGGGTTGGGGCGACCTAGCAACCAGGAGGCCGAAGCGCATCGGTGAGGGGAGGGAGGCGTCGGGGAAGCCCCGGGGCGAGTCCCCTGGCCAGTTGAGGGTTTGTGGTCAAGGGGTCGGGTCAGAGGCCCTGCGTGAGCCTTTGTTCTGGGGGCAGCTTTACACGCGCCAGGGTTAAACCATAGCGGACCCCAAGTCAGTTTGGAATGTTCCACAAATCCTTTGTAGGATTGTGAAGCTGAGAACCGTTATCAGGTGTATCCGTTTGCCTTTTATTTCCCTTCCCATCCACCGCCACCCCCACCCCACCAACTTTTAATTTAGTTATACCGTTTACAGTTGCCGGAGTAATATATTGGATCTTTGCTTGTTTTTCCCATTTCAGTCCTTAAAACTATCGGAGTAGAACGCCTCATCAATGTCCCACAGAGATGCTTGTGGTTTCGAACTGCTGAGCTTGTAGTTTGCAAACCATCCTGTAACCACTATGCCACCTTAGGGTTCCTTGTGACCAAAAAAGGTGGTGGTAAAATAAAGGTAGCCCTCCTAATGGTTTGAAACGATAGCCAGCATACGAAAAAAGCTGCTTCAAGTCAATGAGCATATGAGTTATGACCAAGTATTAGGTTATGTCATGTCGGTTATGGATATTATACCAAATTATAATATTGTAAGTGAGATATTCTTGCCTGCATGACCTGACTCCTAAGTAAATATGCTTATAAAATAGAAAAGTAAATCTTAGGTTGAGATGTGTAGCAACTGTTAGATAGGAATGCCAGGAAATGTCGGTTTTCCTGCACTGGAAACCATTGTCTTAGCTGCACATCACACTAATAACAGCCCTTCTCCTTAAAAAGGATGGTCGTAAGTTCTAGTCTCCTCTTTCCATTTAATTTTTTGAAAAATAGTTGTATTACTCACATCCCATACAATGCAGTTGTTTTAATATATTAAAAAGAGTTGTTCAGTCATCACCACACTCAAATTTGGAAGACGCATTCAATTTTAATAAAATGAAGCACAGGCCTACATTCAATACTATAGGGTGGTCTCCATTTCCATCATATTATTTCACTTTTTAAAAAGAAACATTGTGAAAAAAAAAAAAGAAACATTGTGAAAAGGATATGCACATAGTAAACAAAACTTTAGCATTTAAGTAGATTCATTCTCTGAGATTAGCTGATAACTCAGCAGAAACTTCATTTGCAATATCTGAAGAGGAGTTAGTAAAAATTTAGCTTTTGCTTCAAATAGAACCAGTTCAATAAATGTATCCTTGTTGTGAGCATTCGCCTTCCTGCCACACAACCACTACCACCAAGCCGTCAGAATTCTCTATTTTGTTGTAGGGTGCAAGAGGAACCACCACCTCATAGAAGTTAAGGAGAACGTTGAGTGTTAATGGAGACCAAGGCAATAAATACAAGGAGGCAGGCACATCCTCCAGATGAGGGAGGCCATTAGCATAAGGTCAAAATGGCGGCCAAGGATTCACAATTTGGGAAGCCAGATAAATAGGGCATGGCACAGAGGGAACTGTCACAAATTCATGATCGGTGGCAGATCAGTCCATCACAGTTACAGGTGGGCCTACAGAAGCAGGCACAGCCAGACTGGGCCAGGGCCCTCTGACCCAGGCAGTCAGGGCGAGGCTGTTAAGGCATGACTCAGGACTGTTTGACCCCCTGTGAGGAACAGTGCCCTCCATCAAGGAGGGCTGACCGGGATGGAGGTAAATTTGCTTTCCAACGCTCTCTGCCTGAGGGCAAGATTATCCTTGGTTAAGGATCAGAAAGAATTCAACGCAGACTTGAGGGCCCTGCAGATGGATTGGGGGCTGCCACTGCCAGCCATTAGCGGTTTGCAAACTGGCGTTCTCAGAACGTAAGCTCTAATGTCATCTTAAATACCATCATGTACCAGAAGGTCAAACCTGAGAGCCAGCTCCTCAACTCTACCCTCAGTCTTTTCATAAATCAGAAAGTCTGGCGGATTCTGCCTATTAAAAATCTCTAAAAATCCATCTACTTCTATCCACCACCTGCACTGGACTCCAAGCTAAGAATTCAAACCGGTTCATTCTGGCTCAACCCCATACTGTGTGTGCCATCCCACCCCAGCTGCACAGAATCAGAATCTACATTGTAACAATTTTCTGGTGATGTTAAAATGCAGGTGCTGGTGCACTCTATCTGGGGTGGAAAGATACATTCTCCAAGTGAGGAGAGCTCAGACTGGAATGAATCAGTTCAGTGTTCTGCTCCAGCATCTCCCTCCACGCACTCTGGTTGTGTGACCTCAAGTGGCTCTGACTCTTCACAGCCCTAAATGACTGAGTAGAACTGCCCCCTAGGAATTCCTAGGGCGCTAAATGACTGAGTAGAACTGCCCCCTAGGAATTCCTAGGGCGCTAAATGACTGGGTAGAACTGCCCCCTAGGAATTCCTAGGGCGTTCTGGTGGTGTCTTGAGTTAGGAGTGGGGCACTAACCACGAGGTCAGTAGTTTGCAACCATCAGCTGCTCCACAGGAGAAAGGTGAGGCTTTCTGTTCCTGTAAACAGTTGAAGTCTCACAGAAACCGGGAGGGCAGGTCTACCCTGCCCTGTAGGGTTGCTGTGAGTCAGAGTGGACACCAGGGCAGTGAGTTGGTTCTTCTCTGGGGGGTGGGGGGTGTCTCTGTCTGTCTGTGTGTGGTCTGTCTATCTCTATCAGAGCAGATAACCTAGTATTTTCCCTTTCAAAGCTACTGTTGACCTGCCTTCAGTCTCAAGGCAATTACCCACCCCAAACCCACTGCTGTCTAGTCAGGACTGCGGAGGGTTTGACTCCGAGCTGGCAGGCACGAACCACCTATCCTTTTGTCTAGCTCCTATAGTTTCTGGACTGAAAAAAATGCTATTCTTTTAGCCTCCTTAAACAGGTACAACCATGACTAGCCTTCAAAACAGATTCATTTCTCTTGGATGCCACATTGTGTAGAAATGTGTAATTAGTTGTGTAACAATAGGGACATCTTTATCTCCCTAGGTCTCAGTATCCTCAGCTGCAACATTATTAAGGAATTAGGTCGTTTCTGTGGTTCCCCAAAAAGTTAAAAAAAAAAAAAAAGTCACTCCCACCGAGTCGTGCTGACTCCTAGTGAATAACCCTATAGGACAGCATAGAACTGCCCAGTGGGTTTCCAAGAAATGCAGTGATTTCTAAGTCCCTTAAGCACAGCCAGAAAAAGTGTTGAAAACAGACAACATGAGAGTAGAAATCAAAGTATTGCTCTTGTTCTCAGGCTGTATTTGTTTCCCCAACCCTGTAACACCTGCACTCCTTAAGGAATCACGGAAAGGTTACTAAAGGAGCAGCTGAAGAGCCCTTCTTGACTTGGTGGAGACCACGCTGCGGGAACAGGAAGCTCTCCTGCCCTGCCTTGAAAGTGACAGCACTCTGTAGTTGTAGGGCCACTTCTACAAAAATGTCACTAGGTGGGTTTTATGTTAAAGACCAAGATAAACACAGCAAGACAACTTCAACTTTGGGAGAGGGTGGGATGAAGTATAAACACACTTGGCTTATATCATAGTAAACGGATTTTTATTAACTGCTTAGCCTATATAAACTGCTGACATTTACAGGCCCCCTGGCTGCCTCCATTATGATGAGAAAAGTCCGTGGTATAACACCAAAAGGAGAGTGTGGAAGCAGCAATGGGCAGCTCAACTGAGTGTTTCTCAAAAGTGATGATAAACTTTTTGTAACATTAAAGAAATGTCATGTATTTGTGGAATCAGGGCTGTTGAGTTTTAATTTTTAGCCAATTAAGATTCTAGGTGATCAACCTATGGACCACTCTGGAATTAGACTAATCTCTTTTCTGTTGGCTTAATTTGCTACATAATCTACTAATTCTAAAAATACCCTTGTGAGACAGCCCGTCGCTATGCCAGTGGATCATAAAACATGTAAAAATGAAAAAGAAAAAAAGCTTGGGGGCGGGGAATGTAAAGATGTTGTATATGGACAGATGAGTTACAATTGGACTTGTTTTGTGTTAAACATATTAGGGGAAGGCATACTTAATACAAATGAAGTAAGCAATAAATGAGACCTAAGAATTGGCCTTTGATTTTAAATATTTAATTTGCTCATAGGAACTTTGTCAATAAAAAATAGAATTTGTTTGTATGCACGTTGTCATAAGTCCTGCCTTCCCTCACAAGAAGCTCTAGAAGGAAAGCTGCCAAATTCATCTTGTCTGTTGCATCCCCTGGCCAAGTGCACACCGGCTCCTCAGTAGCTTTGAATATCAAAGATAAACTGCATTGGACTAATTTTAATAGTTCTATGGGCACAGATGATTCACGTATGATGGAGTGCAATAGTTCAGTCACATCAAGAAGAGTTGGACAATAATTACACAATCCATTTTAGAACGTCTTCATTGTTTTTACTTCCCGCCTCCCCCCACCCACCCCTGCCCCAAAGCTCCCTTGCCATACCTCTATTAATCCAGTCATTGCTTCTATCGATTTACCTATTTTGGATTTCATGTACAGAAAAACATTTTGAACAACTGACAACAAAGATAAATTGTATTTTAATGGAGTAGTTCTCAACTATGTACCACCCAAGAAAGAAACGTTGAACGTGGTAACTCCTCCCACCTGTTACATTGAGCATTTACATTGTCTTTGTGTTGCCACATAGTGAGTTATTTGGGGCTTCTCCTGCATACTAAACTGTATTTCAGGGCAGGCATTCTTCCCCTCCTCTTGGCTCCAGCATGCTCACCTATCACAGAGGACTAACGCTGTTTGAGGCGGCTCAGCGCAGCTGTGTGAAGACAAACGTTTTGCTCTAGAGACCATATGAAAATATATATGCAAAGAAACCAGGGAATAAGAGAAGTATCTTTTCAAGAGACATGAAGGAACCATCTCTTAATATAGGAAAGTAATGGTTTAGG